CCACACACACACACACACCACGTCCATGGGAATCGATCTGACAAATAGTGAACTGAACCGAACCGACGTCTCTTGGCATGGTGTTGGTACACAAATCACACAGAACGGCCACCACACTCAGGCAGACTTGAGGCGTTTGTGTGTGTGCTGAACGGCTGCCTCTTCCCTTCAAATTTGCCGCAACATTTACTTGTTTCCGTCCTTTGACCATTCACCATCCCCCCTTTCACCATCCATTCACCGTTACCCGGCACACCACCGTGTCCGCCAGGTGCGAGCGGTCGTCGGTGACCGACTCGGTGGTGTATATGTATATGTCAACGTAGCATCGACCGTGTCGCACATCGCCCTCGCCCGTCGCCTCACTGCCCAAGACTGACTCTTCAGATCAGCTGCCAGTCAGAGAGATGATGGCAAGATGCATCGAGATCGATAGCCTCTCAGCAGGTCCCATGAAGCCACGCTGTCATCCAACCGACTCTCGTGCTCCATCCGCCACACCTTGCCCCCCAGCTGCCGCCCCAGTACTCTCATGACGGCATTGCGCGTCCTGTCGTGAGGGACAGACTCCGTCGTGTACACTTTGACAAACATTCCTTTCCCAGCCCGGAAATCCACAAAGTAAATGACTGCGGTATTCGCCCCTCCCATCACCTCACTCCCCAGCACCACCAGCTGCCAACGCCATCGACCCGCCCAGCTCTTTTCGAACACCGCCACCCCCGGCCCCCACTGTGACGCATCGCTGTGAGGGGCCGCCAGCAGCTCACGCGCACGCCGGTGTCCGAAAGAAGCCGGAGAGAAAGACCACCCGTTTTTGATCCAACGGGTAGTACTATCGTCGCCTCGAACAAGCAAGCCGCGGAGCCAGTCGAAGAGAACGAAGGCCACCATCGATGTGTAGGTGGGGTGCACTTCGCTGTCCAGCTGTGTGGGCCGGTCGGCGGGGTCGAATGAATTCGGAAAGACGGGGCTGGACGAGATGAGCAGGGAGGGGCGGCTGGACCAGACAGTCTTACGGCAGAGAATCTTGTCGCCGTCCATCAGCAGTCTCTCTTGGCCGTTGTCATTCACAGTCACCCCTCGGCTGATTATCTTCCACTGGCGGACCGCCCCTCTTTTGCCAAAGAAGGCCGCCCGTCTGCCGAACACGCCGACAACGACGAAAGACAATCTGCGCACTGCTGTTGGCAGAGACACTCAGGCACCGAGCCAGCCATTCACCGCCATCGTGCCGCTCCCGTCACACTTCACTCAGCAGGTGCTCCCCCAGCAAACCCATCGCCGCACTGCGCGTCTGGTCGTGCGGGGCAGACTCGGTCGTCGTGACATCAACAAATTGGTGATCGTCCCAATCGTCCAGCCGAATGACCGCCACGTTTCCCTCAACGACCGCCTCACTGCCCAGCACCACCAGCCGCTCATGGCCCTCACTCCACCGGGGTTTCCTGTCGAACACGGCCGCCCCCGCCCCCCACTGCGCCGCATCGCTGGGACGGGTCGCCAGCAGCTGACACACACGCCGGAATGCAGCAGAGGAATGTGACCAGTCCTCGATGCGACAAATGTAGTAGTCGCGCTTGACCAGGAGAACAGGACGAATGCCACCATCGATGAGTAGGTGGCGTATGTCCAGGCCATCAGCTCTGTGGGCGGATCGGCGGGGTCGAATGCATTGGGGAAGAGGGGGCTGGGTGCGGCGAGGATGGTCGGGAGGCGCCAGGCCCAGCCAGCGTGGAGGCGAATGTAGTTGCCGTACATCAGGCATATCTGTTTGCCTAGATCACGGAAAGTCGCCACACGGCTAAGAACCCTCCTCTGCTGGACCGCCTCGCTCTCGCCGATGAAGGCCTCCCGGCTGCCGAACGCGCTGAAATGCTCATCGCCCAGCACCACTGGCCGCTTCCGGCGCATGTGATACAGCAGCTCCAAATGAGGCCGCCACCTCGACAAACCGCCGCCACCCTCCAGCATCTTGAGATGGCGGCTCAGCTGCTCGATGGCGACTGCCATGCGGCAGCCGTGGCTGAGCGCCGCAGGAAGCGGCAGCCGGGGGATGACCCTCATCAGGAATGAGCCGAGGCCGACAATGGGCAGCAGCACGCCCAATACACGCATGAGGAGGGGCAGGAGAAATCGGCTGAGGGCGCCGCGACGAAGGGACGAGGCCATCGGAGCAGCAGCCGCCACGTCCATGGCCAGCTGAGGAATGGGTACCTCCACGAGAGCACCAAAGACGGCTTCCACAACGACGGGTAGCAGTCGGATGAGAATGTGTAGGATGACGGTGGGGTTAAATTGTGTGGGGTGGGCGTCGATGAGGGCCGCCAGCTGTGAGTAACTCCTGACGTACTCGGCAACTGTTGGCGCGAGATCTTGCGGCACGTCAGAGACGCTAATGCCGCACTCATGCTTCTCCTGCTGCTGGTGCTGCTGGTGGTTGGCAAACGACGCTGTGCTGGTACCTGCCCAACAGACCGCCATACTCACAAACCTGTGTGCCTCCGGATTGTGTCACTGTGCAGCCTCCCTGTTAACTTCAGCTGCCGACGCAGATGACGATGAGGATGCCTCGTCAGCTATAGAGGGACCGACTCCATCAGCAGCAGCAGCAGCAGCCGACATCTGCACACCCACAAACAGAAACGTCACGAACATCATGGGAGCGAATGAGTGAATGTGTGGCGCCTCATCGATCTGTGAACATCCGAGCGGCTTTCTTTGCCTTCCGCACCTCAGTCGGCGGCTTGGCTGCCCCTGGTGGGCTCAGATACCTGCGGTGGAGTGCTCTCCTCCTCTTTCTCTCAACCGCACCAACACGACGGAGAGTGCCGGAAATCTGCCACAACCACACAGAAACCACACCGGTTGTCATTGCTGATGTCATCAGGCCCTCCTGCCTGCCCTCTCTCACCTCAACTCGTCAGATCAGCGCCGCTCAGAGAGGAGGGTGGCACATCTGTGATCGATATCATCTCGGCAGCTGTTTGGGCATCTCCCAGGCATTCCGCGCGGCCCCGCTGTCAGCAAAACGCCCCAAAAAGGGAAGAGATTCTGCAAGCCAAGCTCGCAGACCGATGCAGCGGGCGGTGGGGGGCCCGAGCTCTCAAGCCACTCAGTGAAGAAGGTAAAGGGACGGAAGGGGGGCAAGCGAAGCATGAAAAGTGCTGAAAAGAGCTGTCGTGTCTGATCTGTGCGGCGGCAGCAGATAGCTCACGCAATGCCTGAGACCCTCAAGACACTCCCGATGCAGCCCACTGGTGCGGCGCCCTCGTCCCGTCCCCCCAGCCCTGCCCTCTTCCAGCCCGCCGACCTCTTTGACCTGTCATTGCCCATCAGCAAGATGGCCGCCATGGCCATGGCGACTGACGAGGCCAAACGAGCCGCTCTCCGCTCGCAGCTCGCCACCCGCACTCGGCAACAGGAGCTGCTGGGCCACACTGCGGAGACCGTCAACAGCACCCTGCTCAACGCCGTCGAGCAGCACATCGAGAAGGCCCTCAATCGTCTCGGCCTGGCGGACGTGTTGGCCTTTGACATTGGCGGTGATGTGGAGGCCGGCTTGAAGGCGGTCTATGTGCTGGAGCGGGGCAGTGGCGAGGAGTGGCGGGTGATGGGGCGGTTCCTTCGGATGGCCTTCATCTACCGGCTCACCCCCAACACGACGCGGCCTCTCCGTCTGTCGGCCGACTCGCTGCCCACAGGAACGGCCTTCCACCAGCTGCCCCTCACCATGGCCATCTACAAGATCATCGGACAGCAGCTCACATACGCAGGGACCAGCCTGGTGCTGCAGCAGGCCGACAATGGGGCCTATCGAATCGGCAATCAGTTCTTTCGTGTGGTGTCATTGGGTGAGCTGCCGATGGGCTATCGCTATGCTGAGGGCTACAAGCGGACCGACCTCGCCATCCGACGGGGCGTCAGGCTCTTTCCCTCATTCTCGGCATTCCTGCTGGGCAGGGTGCTCCGCTGGTGGTCGGATGAAGATGGAGTGGGCGACAAGACGGTTCTCGCTGCTCACGTCTACCGTGGCGACCCTCGCTATGGCCGCCTGCTGACCGACACCATCACGGAGGATTTGGGCATCGCTATCGATTATCGCGATGACCGGGGCGATCTGAATGATGCTCATCCGATTGACTGCCGTTTTGTGATTGTCAGCGGCTTCCGATGCAACAAGACCGTGGCTGTTAATCTGAGAGTGGGGTTGGCCGAAATCGTGCTGCGGACGACCGAGGCTTCTGTTGCTGATCGATCTCGGTCACTCGCTGTCCGCTTCCCCATTTCGGAGCCTCTGTAGCGCCGTCTGCTGCGGCGATTCGAGTTGGAGACCGACGTCATCGACGGGGGGACGGTGGTGGGGTGAGCAGTGCTGCTTGGCGAGTGGCGTCGTGTAGCCGTACGCCGGTGGGGCAGTGTGTGAGTAGTGGAGGGAGACTGAGTGCATCTGAATGGCGGACGTGACTGACTGCATGGCATTGCTTTTGTCAATGAGTGAATGGATTGATGACATGATCGCATCTTGTCGAATCAAAGTCGGTTCATTCCACCCGATGCACGTTTGTGAAAAAATGCCCCCACACCTATCACGTCCACAAAGTCCACCTGACAAATACTGAACTGGACACACGACCTCCCTCAATCAGCTGTCCATCCATCCACATCAGTTAGGCAGCCGAGAACTGAGTCTTCTTGGCCTGTGCGTGGCAGTGCTGGGCCGTCCTCAGCAGCAGGTCGTTGAAGTCCCGTGTGTGCCGCAGTCTGTCGTCGAGGGCCGCGTCGTAGAAGTGCTGCTTCTGCTCGGGTGGCAGGAGTGCGTCGGGGAGCTGCTTGAGTGCATCCAGGAAGACCTCCTTGCCCTCAGGCCGGTCCAGCAACGGGATCAGCGCACTCGACGTTATGCCCACGCCCTGAGGGATGTCTGCACACACAAAGACAGCGGGATGGTGTGAGTGCGTCTGCTCTCTCTCTCTCTCTCTCTGTCTGTGCGTGTGTCGGTGTCACGTATATGCACCGATGGCTGTCGTGGCGATGACCTTGAGCAGCACCTGGATGACCACAACCAGGCCGCCCTCCTGCAGTATCAGCCGTGAGGCCGCCTGACGGGCGCCGGCCTCCTCTGCACGGAACGTCTCAGCCGACACGCGAAAGTGGGGCAGCCGGGTCACATCTTAAACACAACACCCAGACACATAACACACGGCAATATACACTCATCGAGGGCATTCTGATGTGTGAAAGACTGACATTTCTCGTCGGCGAGCCATGCGTCCAGCCGGGCGAGAAACAGCAGCATCACGGCACCCAGCTGTCAATCACGACAGACACACAGACACACACGATGCACAGCAGGGGTGGTGTGCGCCCATGTGGCTGGCTGGCCGACCTTCGGATGTGCACAGTCGGGTAGCATCTCAAAGACGAATCGCAGGAGGGCGGGGAACCACTGAGCGTTGAGGACCTCCTTGGCGAGGGCCGGGTGGCTGAGCACCAGGCCCTGGTTGAAGCAGTCGATCGACAGACCCACCAGGTCTGGATGACGCAGGTACTGCGTCACCTCGGGCGCCGGCTGGGCACCTAGTTGACACACACACCGACACACACAATGAGTGCTGTGTCTTTCTCCTGTGTGTGGGTTATGTGTTGTGACGGACTGACCAGTTGTGGGCTGCCTTTGGCTGAGTGCGACCTCGGCGAGCAGCTGGAGGAGGTCGCGCAGCCCGTGGACCACAGGGGGGTCGAAGGAGCGGCCGAACATGCCGACGATCTGTGGACACACACCAGACAGACAGACAGACAGACATCGACGAGGGAATGGGCGGCAAACAGAGAGGTAGGGGTGTGTTTGCTGACCGATCTGAGAGCCCCCAGGTGGAAGCATGTGGGTGTGTTGCGGAAGCTGCTGCCCATCACACGCAGCACCGGGTGAAACAGACTGCGCAAGGGGAACAGACACATGGATGGATTGACAGATACGACGATATGGCCATAGTGCAGCTTGCCTTGAGTCCATGGCCTGTTCCCTGGTGTCTGATATGATCTGGGTGATGGCCTGGCACACAGGCTCCATTATCGCCTCACTCGACCCTACACACACACACACACACACACATCCATCCATCCATCCACACGAGCATTCTGCCTGCCCGTCTGCTGCCTGACCGTGTTCAGCGAAGAGCCTCTCCACCAGCGGCCACTCCTTCTCCAGCACTATCAGTGTCGGGTGCGCATTCCGCTGCGCTTCAGACACGCCATTGGCTGCAACCAACACACACAGCACCCATGTGTATGCATGACGCGTTGCCCACCACACTGACCTTCCTCTCCCTTTGGCATTGGCGGGTGGGGGGCAGCCCCTGCGCCGCAACACACACCGGCCAAGTCGCTCCGCACACTTCTGCATCCATCAATTCCATGAGAGAATGGATGGATGGATGGATGGAGACCGACAAACACCATGGGCGGGTGTGCTGACTTGAGTGCGGTGCAGAAGTGGCGCACGTCATCGACCAGCGACGACCGGCGACCTGCGAGCGACTCGCGGACTAAATCCGCCAACGGCTGCGCACGTACGCACACGCACACGGACGCACACGTGTGTGGGGTATATGCCAC